GAGAGAGAGAGAGAGAACAGTAGACAACACTAAAAAAAGAGAGTTCCTTATTCATGAAATAAACCCCTATTTATAAGCCTAGGTCTCAACATTACAAAAATACATTTTGGCCCCATATCATTAACTTTTAAAGGAGACTTTTTGATAATTGAAGAGTTATTTGCATATAATAAGATCGATGACCAATTCGATCAATGAGGTAGCCGATCATCTGATAAACCTTTGACTCTATCGATATCCAGTCAAAAAGAGTGCTTCTCGTTGATCATTCTGAAGACTGATTACCGCTCTAAGGGAGCTTCTCTTAGCGTCTTTTGCTGATCGTTCGAACAAGACACTTCTCTTACCAATATTCACCAAAAAACGATCGTCGAAGGCTTATGTTCAGTTGTACATATCTTTTTATTGAGTTGTCATCTGTTTTGAGATTCATGCTAACATATTTTTAAAGGTACAACACTTAATATGTATAATATGGAAGCAAGTATATTTAATAAAGTTTAGAGAATATGTGGAAAATATCCATATAACATATTTTTTTATTGAGTCGTCATCTGCTTTGAGATTCATGTCAACATATTTTTAAAGGTACAACACTTAATATCTATAATATGGAAGCAAGTATATTTTATAAAGTTTAGAGAATATGTGGAAAATATCCATATAAGTAAAAAAAGAAGTAAGATTTACATAATTACCACTCAATTCTTATGTATTTACATATCGAAGTCTTAAAGATTGATTTTTACATACCTATCACGTTTCTTCAAATGACGATGAAATGAAATAGGATGCAATTTGAACCTTACATTGCCGCTCAAAAACTCCTCTACCTCCTCCGCTCAGCCGCCAGCCGCCAGTTGCCTGCAGTAACCCGCCACATCCACGCCCACCTTCTCAAATCCTCCTTCCTCCCTTCCCCTCCCTTCCCATCCTCCCTCATCAACGCTTACACCAAATCAGACCTCCACCTCGACGCTCACATCCTGTTTGACGAAATTCCCCACCCGGACATCATTCTTTACTCCTCCCTCTTAGCAGCTCACGCTCGTTCCAATTCCCCTGCCTCCTTCTTCTCCATCTTCAAGCGGATGATCTCTGTCCATTTCCTCCTCCCTGATGACTTCATCCTTGCCACCCTCGTCAATGCCTGCGGTCGCTTTCTTTCCCCCAGCCTTGGCCGCCAGGCTCATGCCTACGTTATAGTCTCCACTTTCTCGTCCGATGATATTGTCAAATCCTCACTTGTTGACATGTACTCCAAGTGTGGCCTGCCAAATGATGCTCGTCGGGTCTTTGATTCCATTGAGCTTAAGAATTTTGTTTCCTGGACCACAATAGTTTCGGGGTATGCCTCCAATGGCTGGATTGCTGAAGCTTTGGAGCTTTTTTGGAGAATGCCTGAAAGATCAGTTTTTGTTTGGACTGCTCTGATATCCGGGTTGGTTCGTAGCGGGAATAGCTTTGAAGCTCTGAACTTGTTTGTGGAAATGAGAAGGGAGGGGACTCTCATTGATGATGCTTTTATTCTTTCTAGCGTTGTCAGTGCTTCAGCTGATATGGCAATGCTGGCCCTTGGAAAACAGCTTCATTGCTTTTCTGTATCTCTTGGTTATGAGTCAAACACAATGCTGGGCAATGCTTTTGTGGATATGTATGCAAAGTGCAGTGATATATCATCGTCGAGAATGGCATTTGATAAGATTTTGTTGAAGAAGTGTGTTGTTTCATGGACTACTATGATAGTTGGAGAGGCTCAGCATGGCAGGGCGGAGGAGTCATTGGCTTTATTTGATAGGATGGTTAGTTCCGGAGTGAGGCCAAATGAGGTCACATTCATGGGTCTAATTTATGCTTGCAGCCATATCGGCTTAGTTTGGAAGGGCCGGGAACTGTTTGATTCAATGCGGAATGACTATGGGATTGAGCCTTCGTTGAAGCACTATACATGCTTGTTGGATCTTCTTAGCAGGTCTGGGCATCTTTCTGAGGCTGATAATCTCATTCAGATAATGCCATATGAGCCCGATGAAGCTGCTTGGGCTGCTCTTCTGAGTGCTTGCAATAAGCATAGAGATATCCAGTTGGGTATACATGTAGCTGATAAATTATTGAGATTGAAACCGAAAATTTCTTCAACATACATATTGTTATCTAATACTTATGCTCACGCTGGAAAGTGGGATTCTGTGGCAAATACAAGGAAATTGATGGATGAGATGGAGATAAAAAAGCAGCCTGGCTATAGCTGGATTGAAGTTGGGAGGGAGAGCTGCTTGTTTCAAGCTGGAGTGGTGCCTCTTCATATGAGAGAGACCATTCTTGATCTGCTCAAGGAATTGACGAAGGAAATGAGGAAGAGAGGTTATGTCCCAGATACTAGCTCTGTCCTGCACGACTTGGATGAGGATGAGAAAGAGCTGCAACTATTTATGCACAGCGAGAGACTCGCAGTTGCTTTTGGGCTTCTGAAGTCAGCATCTGGGATGACGATTCGGGTTGTGAAAAACCTTCGTGTTTGTGGTGATTGTCATACTGTTATGAAGCTCATCAGTAGTATTTTTGGTAGGGAGATTGTGGTTAGAGATGCCAACAGATTTCATCATTTTGAGTGTGGAAGATGCTCTTGTGGTGATTTTTGGTGATGAAGGACCTCTATGATTTTAGTTGGAGCTTACTTCCATCATCTTTTTGGTGAGAGATTCCCTCTCAGCAATGTTGGGATATTGGAGCTTTTTCATCATTCATTACTGCAATTCAACACTTGACTTCTAATCCTTCATTTGTGAAGTATTGATGCGCGCGGCGGTAAAGTAATGAATTATTGTCTTAGCGTTGCATGAGAATTCAACCCACACTCAGGTGAAAGAAAATAATGATACCAGAAGTTTTTGAGTGAAAAAATCAGTAAAGGGAAAAAACCACCGGGCCTGACCCAGTTGTAAAAATTCACTATAGGTTGATGATTACAGAAATTACTTGTCGCACAAACGGAAAATGGTTAAATTTTTCAAGTTACAATGTTGACTGACGACATCTGGTTGGTGGTAGTCGACGACGATTGGTGGTGATCGATGATTGTTGCGATTGGTGGTCGGTGACGATTGGTGATGGTTGGTGGTGATTAACGATGACAGCAGTGCTTGACGGTAGTTGGTGGTTTTCAACGACGAACGACGGTGATTGACGGAGGCCGGCGGTGGTTGACGATGATCTGCGGTGGTCGATAGCGATCGGCGGTAGTCGATGGCGATTAGCGGTGGTCGACATTTGCAGGCGGCGATCGACGATGGTAGGGATGGTGCTGGACTTCATCTCCTTCTCAAAGCCTCAAGTTCTATTTCAAGACTCAAGCTCCCCCCTCATAAGAGTAGTGAAGCTCTATTTGTATTGTTCTGGGTGTAATTAATACAATAATATGAATCATTTTGATCGGACGTGCTGTAGAGATTCCTTCAATCAGATGACATTTGATGAACATTTGAGTGCCTTAACGATGTCGAATTTGAGCAATCTTGGGCTCTTTGGATTCGTTTTGTCGAGATGCTCGATTCAACTATGAACTCGTCAGATTCGACATCTGTTTGACTTTTCAAATGTGTCCGAAAATCTTTTAAAAATAATTTAATAACTTGATATGAGCTTCATTTGACTCGAATTTGACTAAATTTGATATAATTAAGTCTGTCTTATCGAGCCGGTCAGTTTGACCATAAGTTTGTTGAAATAAGAGTTTCAGATGACTCTTAATTGAAGTTTGAATGCTTCTTGTTTAAAAAATTACCTCGAGATTTGTGTCAATGCCTCAAGATTCATTGCGGATGATGGAAATTTTCTGAGATATATCAAGTATAAAGAAGTATAATGCCTTATTCTGCCTCAACCTCATAAAGTCATTGACACCTTTAATAGCAAGGTAATATTTTGTTAAAATTTTAGCATATAAGGCTCTTCTGTTTGCTACTTTGAAATTTTATCATTAAATGAGCTTGAACAGTTGTTTTTAAGTAAGTTGGTTGTTACTAAAAAGTTTTACTCAATCTAACTTATTAAATGAGGAGTTGAGGAAGGTTCCCAATTATTGGACTTAGCATGTTCTCGCTTCCTGATTTTAGATATAAAAAATAAAAATAGCTAGTTTTTTAAGCGTTTACTATTTTCTTTTTTTTTTTATTTGAGAGGTTGTTCCAGTTAAGTGCTAAATTTCAGCCAATAAAATCTAAAATTATGCTACCAGCTTATATTCATGTTCTCCTTTTTTCGCCTTCGTTAGATGGATGGATGGATGTTTTTTAAATGTTTACTATTTTTTTTTCTTTTTTTTATTTGAGTTGGATGGATGTTTTTTAAAGTTTACTATTTTCTTTTTCTTTTTTTTTATTTGAGATGGATGGATGGTAGTTTTTTAAACGTTTACTATTTTCTTTTTTCTTTTTATTTGAGAGGTTGTTCCAGTTAAGTGCTAAATTTCGGCCAATATAGATCATAGATAGATAGATAGATAGATAGATAGATAGATAGATACACCTTCACCTTCATCAATGAAGAACACTATTTCTAAGGATGACTCATCAAGAGAAAGATTAATAACTTCAAGGATTTTAATATCCTTCATTGTAACCAAAGCATCTCCACTAACATCCCATAATTTTGTGCTCCCCTGAGAATATTTTAGGCTCCTTCTAGATAAAAGGCACCACTACATCTAAAGAAATTAGTAAACTCCAAATTAACAATAGATCTTTTTTCAATATTTGGGAAAATCGTCTTTAAGCATTTATTTCTCTCAATTGATATCTTTAAGCATTTATTTAACCTACTGTGTTAACAACAAATAAAAAATTTAAATCCTACACAAATTTTAGGAAATTTGATTGAAAGATATCAAATACTTAAGAGACTCTTTTTTGTAATAAGTTAAGTGAATGACATTGAATGTAAATTTGTATGTAGTAAAAAACTAGTGAAAAATAGGAGCAAAAATTTTCTTTACTCTCTCCCGAGTGCATAAAGAAGCTTGGATAGAAATGAATTTAATTCCTTAAATTCCATAGCTATCCTTTCAAAGCATATTTCCCTAACATTTGCATCTTCTTACAAGACATATCCACCTATACCCTATAATTCAATGTGATTAACCTAGTTGATTCTATCACAGCTTTCCCAAGCCTTATGGTTCACAATATATTTCAAAACTTCACTTGACGAGAATGAAAGGTAAATTAAATTCTTAAAGTTAATCATCACCATTTGAAAATAAATAAATTACATAACACTTCACATTCCATTCATCCTACCTAATCATCACAAGAAAGAGTTAAAAGGTTTACCCACAAGGCATGTTGATTTCACCAAATAAATGCATTGAACAAAAGAGAAATGCACTAATACTTAGTTACAACAGAAATACACAAACAAGTACACAAAAATACTTAGCTATTTCTTCTTTACAATGACCAAAGATGACTCCAATGAACACTCCTGATTCCCTAACTCCCCCTTGGAAGAACACCACTTCCTCAACACTTAGAAGAAGAACTATGGTTCTTCAAAGCAAGAAAAACCCTCAAGTAACTAACCAACATCAATCCTCCATCAAATCTAGTCAACTGCTCCGACAGTTTTAGGCCCCTATTCTCTCAGGGGTAGATGCTAGGCTCTTTGTATGTCGAGGAATGAATGGGAGCCTAAGCGCTCAAGGGACCGACACCTAGGCGCCCAATGGCGCCAACCTCTCAGGCTGGTGAGGCAGAGACTGATGCCTAGAAGCCCAAGGGTCCGACATCTAGGTGCCAGGGCCACTTTGCACCATTCAGCTCCAAGTCCTCTCCTGGTTTCCCCACTTCAATTACCTGCTGTATCTACAAGATAGACACAAAAATACCTTTCTTAAAGTATAATTTCATCCATAAAAATATGTAGAAACATCTAAAAATACTAGCCAACTCATCTACGCATCAGCAAACACAATTAATTGCATTTTGTATATGTCCTTACCATCAGTGCTATTTGCATTATATTATGTTTAAATCATCACTTTCGTCAAATCAAAAGTAAATTAATTAGTAAAATATGTTCAATTGATTTACCTTTTTATTATCCTCCTTCGTATCCAATTTATCTATGCCTATAGAAATATTGTTTTCATGATTAGAATAATTAAATCATTTTGGATGTAGTCGACACATAAATAAAACTGTAAAATATGTTTTCTACTTGTCTTTATTATTTTATAATGAAGATTGATGATATCTTTGTGGGAAAGCTTATTTGAACCATTAATTCTGGACTTATCTCCCTGTAGATGTCCAACTAACTAGTCTCTTTTTTTTCATTATTCATACAACGTAAGAATATTAATGATTGATTCATATTTTGAAAAAAAAAATTGTTCTAAACGTAAACATAAGAATGACTATTATATGGTTCAAATCAGGTTCTATTTATGGTTAAATCATATTCAAATCTAGTTTCAATTATATTTGAACTGGGAGCAAAGCTTTTTGAACCATTTTTGAATAATGGTCAACCAAGTTCCAGACATTGATATATCATGGTTTAGGCAATGTTAGAACATGAATTTAACTATGTTATAACAAGATTCCAATAACCTTCCTCATACGAATAAGCTTTTTAAGATTACTGAAATCCCGTTCAAACCAGTCTCTGCACTTTTCTTCTTAGTTTTCCTTTTTGTTTACATCAAAATGATTTCAAATGAATTGATGAAACCCAATAATAAAACATATGAAGCATTACACATTAACACATGCTTATCTTAGAAAATAAATTATGTGAAAGCAAAAGAAGGTGGTGAGCTCACAACATGGGAGATTGAAATTACTTTACTGTGACATGTAATTGAAATAAAACTGGGTAATAGACCCACATCCCATTTTAACAAGGAAGGTTGGGAGAATCTAGTAAAAAAATTCAATGAGCATACTGTTTGGACGTATGATCATGCGCAATTAAAAAATAAATGAGATCAACTTAAAATAGAATGCAAGTTATGGAAAAAATTACTACGGGGTGAGACTGGAATAGGATGGACTCCAATGAAAAAAAACAATTTAAGCTTTAAATGAGTGGTGGAATGAGAAAAAACAAGTATTTTTTAATTTACTTCATAAACAATTTTCACTTATATGTGTCAATATCACATTTTTTATTCTAACTTATTGTAGGTTAATCCTGCATTATTGAAATTTTGTTATAACATAATATTGTCCGAGTTGGAAGAGAAATTAGACATAATGTTTGAACTTATAGTAGCAACTGGAGAAAATGTTTGGCTGCCAAGCTTGGGTGGACAACCTCTTGAACTATGAGAGGAAATAGCAGAATTTTCTGCTGCAGATAAAATTCACGAGGATGATCCTAATATTGCGAATGTTCAAGGACTTCACAGTTCGCGTTCAATTCATACACAATTATTAAATAAGAGGAAATTTAAAAAACAAAAGTCGACTGGTAGAAATTTTCTCGATAAACAAATTGAGCCGTTAGTCCAAGCATCCACATCTATTAGTGAATCTATATTTACGCTAAATGCTTCGATAAACTCTGTTACTTTACGTGATGCACTGGATGAGTTAGCTAACTTAACAGATGTAACCAACAATATTGAGTTATATGTTTTTGCTTGAGAGCTCGTGAAAGATAAAGATGACAGAGATTTTCATGCACATGCACAAGGATGAAAAAATAGGATGGCTCAGAAGAAAATACTGTAAGAGTTTATCTTGATTGCAACTGCATTCACTATTTATATGAATTATTTTCCTGAAAATAAAATATTTTTTTTTTCTTTTACATTGTAGAAGTTTCATTGATAGTGATATTTTTGTTCATCTTTTGATTTATGCAGATTAGTTATATTTGTTGTACTCATATGAGCGTTACCACATTTGACAAATCTTGTAGATTATAATTTCATGTAACTTCTGTTTATATTCTAACTTTATTATTTCTTTTCTTTTATCTTCTATTACTTAGCTGCAATTTAATTTTTTCTTAAAAATGTCTATACCAATTAAAGATTTGTCAGACAATGAAGGTGATGATTATGATGAATAATGTATCTCAAATAATGAACTAATAGGAAAGACTCAAATGACAATTTTAAATAACACAATAACAAGTATGCTCATCTATTATCATGCACAATATAAGAATAAGAGTCTATATATGACTTCAACTCAAACTGGGGATAAATAGATACATAGACATCCTGTGAGATTTCAAAATATGTTCAAAATATCACAAATAATATTTATAGACTTACTTCGCCTACTTGAATTATCTTATGATTTATGTAGATCATGAAAAAAAATATCTAGAGAAGTACTCGCAATTGTATATATATATATATATATGACGACTTGCCCTAGGGATTTTTTTATATATATATATATATATATATATATATATATATATATATAAAAGCCCAAGGGCGATTATATTAAAAAAAAGAAAGGTACAGATAGCTTGGATGAAAGAGTCCAAATTGGCACCCAAACCATCTGACATACAACACACACTTAAGTCCCAAAAAGATACATGTATACCCAAAAAAGAAAACAAAGATTAAAACGTAGACATATAAACTCTACGCCAAAATTCTGCAAATACTCGCTTATTCAGGAAGCTTCAGAATGATCCAATTTAGCCCTGCCTCCTAGTCTGGTTCTAGGACGGGAGCCAGTTAACAAATTGTTAAGTTTACTGCCATTACCCGAAACAACCAATGTATCATCCATTAAGTTTGGTAATAAGTTTCCATTCTTCTTCTTTTTCCTGGATGTGTAAACCTGTCATTCCTCATCTGAAGACTGACTCATCTGATCAATGGATTGGTCCAAAGATTGTCAGACAAGTATAGGCTGTTGCACATCATGAGCCCCTATGTGCCTGACTGACAGTAACAACTTGCTCGATCTAATGAGATGGAACCACAGTAGCAATACATATAATGTGACAAAATGAATCTAGTAGAGCAACATGCCAACATTTCCAACACTCAACATAAACAATAAGTAGGTATTTTTATATTGGACTTCAAGCATTAATTAAGTTATCATAAGATATCATAAAATGAACAAATATTGAGTTCTGTAATAGTCAATATGGAATTCTTCAAGATGCACATTATATGTCATATTTCAAACATTGTATTAGGGCTATTGATGGCACACATGTTCATGCTCATATCCTTGTTGAGGATCAGATTCCTTACATAGGGCGACATAACTCTCTAACACAAAATGTAATGGTTGTAACTTATTTTAATATGTGTTTCAAATTTGTTGCACCAGGATGGGAGGGTTCAGCTCATGACACGCATTTTTAAAAGTTTTGTGAATGATTCAAAGAGCAATTTTTCTACACCACCAACAGGTATAAAACATATTAAACATGAAATATTCAGGCTATTTATTTTCATTTTTTTTGTTCAAATATTTTTTTAATGAACAGGAACATTTTATTTAGTTGATGTTGGATATTCAATACAAAGATGATATATTAAACCTTATCCTAAAAGAATATATCACATCCCAGATTCCCAACATGGAAGTCGGTCTTTTAGAGGTCAACGTGAGATATTTAATAGAGTATATTATTCTCTTCGTGCTGCAGTGGAATGTGCATTCGGTGTATGGAATAAAAAATGAGGCATTCTTAGAGATATGCCAAATTGCTCTTTCAAAAAACAACACCTAATTGTTGTTGCAATGGTGGCTCTATATAACTACATACGTAGGCATCAATCACAAATTGATCTAGAGTTCGAGGCATGGCATGTTGATGACCAATTTATTCATCTGGAGTTTGTGGCATATGATCTTTTTCATAATGTATGCTAGTTTATATTCTCCTCATGATATGCCAAATAAATGTCAAGGTATACTAATTACTATTTGCACGAATGGCAACATTATGCTACCTTGTACTGAAATTTTGCATAATACAAGCCCCGTAGAATTAATACATAATAAGAACCCAACTAGGCATAACTCATTATGCAACAAAATATGAAATTTTTTACCATTAAACCACATTAGAATTGATAATCAGGAAACACAAATAAGTTGGATATCTACACTTCTTAATACACACTTGAATGCACAATTTCCTGTTGAGTTTTGAACAAGTACAAATTCCATCTGGACACATAATCAGAAGTGCATGCGAAATCTGGGAACATCACCAAGTGTATAGCAATGAAAGTTTTAAAAAAATATATAAATGCAAATTAAAAGGAAAGAAACATGAATAAATGTGCACATTCACGCATTTTCAATCTCAATTATGTGTGTTGGAAAATAAGGAATATTGTTAAAGGATAAAGTTTATGGGCATTTACATACATAGCACAGAAATCTTATGTATTTCCATATCTCAAACCTACGCTTTCATTTTGACACATGTGATAGTAAAAAATTTAATATCACATCAAAAAATAGCATTATTAAAACTTTTTTAGTAGTAAAATACACATTATCATGCATAGGTTTAAAGCACCAAAGTACTATCTATGTAAATATGAAAGTTTGGGTTTGAGATATGTAAATAAATAAGAAATCTGTGTTACATATGCAAATTTTCATAATTTTTATGCTGATTATTCCAAGAATATAGCAGAGAGTTAATGGTGCCTTAAAAATTGAGACAAATGATAAAGCATCCTCCTAGTCACCGCAATGCCATAATCACACACAACTGCAATAAAGGGCGAGTATCCTACATTTTGAGGACTTTATCATGCTGATAAATTTTTATTTAAGTTGGAACAGAGATTTTGTCATTATAATTATCATGAATAACATGGCCAGAAACAGAGATTTTGTCATTATTATTATCATGAATAACATAGCCATTTAATTACAAACTATGAGCACCTAACTGTCAAACTCTATTGGAACAGACAACAAATCAAGAATTGTGGTGTTTAACACGCTGCAGTACACTCTATATTTACATCATTTTCACGAAATGTTAGCCACACATGACATTGCTTCATTCTATCATATGTTCCCATTAAAAGAAACTAATATCAGTGATGATATAACTAATATGCTTAAGAGATACCATTCTGTTTAGATAGAGCTGCACGAATTGCCTCTTTGCATATCCGGGGACTATTATGCATTTCATGAAAATCTTCATTTTTCAGAGGCTTGCTTCACTGGGCAGCTTTGGGTCCTTCGACAGTAAATCAATGTAACCAAAATCTGCAAATTTTGTTTTTCTTGCATTCTTTTTTTTATTGAGTGTAAGGCAATATGTCACCAATTTAAATTATTTGTTTTATAGGTATGGAATGCTTTTCATGATTCATTTCAAAATGGTTCTCCAGCTTTTTATGGAAATTCGTTTCATGAGACTTGTTGTTTGGTAAATGAATCTTCTTGGGGGTCAGCATAGAGATGTGGCACTACCAAAGGTACCGTCTTGCATTTTCTTCTTGTCAAAGGTTCCTCCTTCTGTGATGTGGTTGATAATCAAAAAAATGATTTGCTTTTAGGGGCATTTACTTACATACTGCACAATTCTTAAGTATTTACAGACTGACACTTAAACATTCTTTTTTATATGCATAACACTCAAATCTTTTATTCTAAGCATCGTTGATCTGTTACAGGTACTAACTGAGAATGGTTTACAATTTCCTTTTTTGCTGGATAAAAAAAGAACAACCGATTAAAAATTCGTCTGAGAAGAAGCCTTCTGATACTCTTCCTTACAAGGTCTATGATTTGAGTAATTGCACAAGTTGATTGTTTTTGAAGATATTGTATAAATAATGCCTTCTGAAACACTTTTCCAAGATATTATAAGTGTTGTTAGTTAATCACTATGCTGATCGTTTTTGTCCATTTAAATATTTAATGCAAAATTAAAATGATATATCCATTTTTGTAATTTTTATATAGAATATGGTTAGATGTATATTGACCTGCAGTACTTACGCCGCCTGTATGTGAATTGGTCCAGGAGGGACCGGTCCAGCATCCTCCTACCGCCGGGCTGGCCGGATGCTTCCACGAGGAAGACATCTTTTGGGGTCAGCATAGAGATGTGGCATTTACTTACATACCGCACAATTCTTAAGTATTCACATACTGACACTTTAACATTCTTTTTTATATGCATAACAATCAAATCTTTAACATTACATAAAAAAATACCTCCGCCATTATCTGTAGCATTATATTTATTTACATACCACAGAATCCATTGCTTTTATTCTAAGCATCGTTGATCTGTTACAGGTACTAAATGAGAATGGTTTACAATTTCCTGTTTTGCTGGATAAAAAAAGAACAACCGACTAAAAATTCGTCTGAGAAAAAACCTTCTGATACTCTTCCTTACAAGGTCTATGATTTGAGTAATTGCACAAGTTGATTGTTTTTGAAGATATTGTATAAATAATGCCTTCTGAAACACTTTTCCAAGATATTATAAGTGTTGTTAGTTATTCACTATGCTGATCGTTTTTGTCCATTTAAATATTTAATGCAAAATTAAAATGATATATCCATTTTTGTAATTTTTATATAGAGTATGCTTAGATGTATATTGACCTGCAGTACTGTTACGCTGCCTGTACGTGAACTGGTCCAGGAGGGACCGGTCCAGCATCCTCCAACCGCCGGGCTGGCCGGATGCTTCCACGAGGAAGACTCGAGCGGCGGGTTGCTCCGACAGAATAAGGAAAGGAGCAGGGTGCTGCGATAGAAAAAGGAAGACAACAAAAGAGATCCATGAGGGCCTTAATCACATATTCAAGGAAAAAATTAAAAGTGTTTTGGAGGAAAAGCTTGGAAGGAAAGCTTTTGAAATACCGAGAGAGAATTCTATTAAATGGAGTAACATTGAGTTTTTTTTTTTAATGCATATTTTATTGTGGCTGCTATTTTATTTCTTTTTGTGATGTTTCCAGCAATGTCTGGGGTGCGGGAGATTCGATCCATCTCTCGAATAGTAGAGTAATCTTGTATCTTGCTTGTTTCCTTTGAAGTTAGTAAAAACAGCTCTTGTTTGTGTTTCTTTTACCTATCAATTGCCGTTCATTGCGTTTTTTTTGCTGATTTTGATGCCGACAGTATTTCATGAAAAATTGATGCACCTTTAATATTTATCATATATAGGCTTGGGATTTTTCACCCATTGCTGCAGTCAACTTAATGCAGTGATATTTGAAATTCCTTGGTCAATGGTAAATCTATTATCCGTTGCTATAATTTGCTGTTCTGTTACAAATGTAAAAAATTAAGATGTCTTAGCTCCAAATAATTAAGGTGTTATCTACTGCTCTCATTGTACGTACTTTTATCGCTGCTTCCTGGAAAGTCTAAAATTTGTTGTAATCAGAGGCTACAATTTATAAGTGATAGATAATCAAAAGCCCAAACAGAAAAAAGAAGCAGCCTGAGAACAGATAATTCTAATGAATATTTCATTTTCATTGTTATATATTACAGCTACACAGGACCCCCTTCCACTTTCTGCAGGGGTAAGAAGGCAGTGCACAAGAACATAAATGTTCTCAAACGGGTCCCATGCGAGGAAAAAATATTACGTTCAGGCAATGGATGTGATACATTCAAAGGAAAATAAATTTTCGAGTGCATTGTGTCTGTTGTCCAGATGCAGCTTAAGTCTGGACTCCGATCACAATCAAGACATAATATGCGGTGTGAGATTTAAAAGAAAAAAAATTAAAATAGTCATTACAGCTTTTTCAATAACAATTTCTTATACAACAGTTTCAAAATGAGTTTTTCAAAAAGTTACAGCTGTCCCAAACAGGCCCTTAATTTACAATATCATTGAAAAACAGGAGACGTAAGCCACCAATTCTGACCGATTTACGACCACTAGCTTACTCCATCATCACGGTAACCATAGCCGCTGAATCATCACCGCAATCTTCATCGCCGTCGTTATAATTGCCACCCACACCACCATTAGTAATAGCTTAGTGCATCTTAAATGGCAAGCCAATTTTTAAGGTATTTTAATATTTATCATATATTATAAAAGAATATTCCTTTTTTTATGAGGCAATACATACGTACCATTCAATTCGTATGTATTAACATATTTAACATGTAACTTCATTTCTCTTACATATTTACCAGCTTAATTAGACATGAAAATTTACATTTCACTTTTGTTTAAGTTAAAATAATGATATTTTTGATGTGATAAAGAAGATTTAGGTGTTACAAATGTAAAAAATTAAGTTTAGATGTAAATACATAGAAATTGTTTGGTATATATGTAAATGTCCCCTTTTTTTAAAATCCACATGCATTGTATCATTCCCTCCATTGGTTGAAAAGTGACTACATAATCTTACCCTTAAATTACTTCATTGAACTAAATTAACTAATTAGATAAGGATTGGCTTAGCGAGTAATTATGCCGTTGCCTTGGCGATGGTATACTCCGTTGTTGTACTAAAAGTCTATAATTAGTGAATTAAATGCACTATTTTGAAGCTCTTGATGCCATAAATCAAAGTAGTTGGAGGATGTCAATTTTATTAGTGAATTTGTTGATAAAATTTTATGGAAATTTGATGATCAATTTTAGCAAGAAAAAAAATGATGATAGATTGTATTTTTTTATTAACATGTTATGCCATTGAGAATTATCATATCATGAAAAGCCCATGAATTAGAGGTTGATGCACCTCATTGTGATTTGATTGTATGATTTTATTTATTTATTTATTTGTGAAAATAGCTTTAGAGGGGCTAATCAAATTGGCTCCTTTGAGTATGGTCACCCTTTCCTCATGTTCTAATGGACTATGAAAATATGTGCACTAAAGAAGAGGAAGGCTTAGTCTCATTTTGGTTAAGGCATAAAATATGTTTAGATTTGAACGTTTTTGACATTGTTGGAATTGCCTTGAGAGGACGTTCATTTCAACTAGATGTATTTAAGCTGTCTGAAATTTATATGACATAAGAAAAATTTAAGTAGTGCTTGATATGAATATTTTGGGTATCAATTAAATAAGGCCATTTAATAGTAATTTTAACATGAAAATATTCATAATGCTTAATAATAGTAAATATAAAAGTTTAGGAAATAAAAATTAAGTTATTGTAATAATTTTGATGGGATTAAAGATTTGAGTGTTATTAGCCCTGCAGGTACATATGAAAGCTTAGTAAATACATAAGAATCATATTGTATGTATGTAAATGCCCTAAGTTTCTTTAGAAGTTTACATATATACCTTTTGAATCTTGAATTGTCATCGTCTCACACCTCTTAAGTAGAGTCTGCAGAAGAAGAGTGGAGAAGAGAATTTAAGAAATAGAGTAAAAGAAGAGAGAAAAGACCACCCACCTTTATAGGTTTGGGTCAACTGTGCTAAAAAAGGTTACATAAATGGCTACAAAAAAAAGGTTCAAACTACGAAAAATATAACATTGTCTATTATCGTAGCTGATGATGTCACGAGACAATAAAACAGATCAATAAAAATATTTGCATTGCCAAATTTCTTTATTAATAATATTTGTTGAACTAGATCATGCGAATTGTTTGATGAATGTGTTAGACCAAGTGTTATTATTCTACTTGAGCTAGATGGCTTGAATAAACATTGTTCTTTTGGTAAATTGATTAGACTCAGCTGTCATTGCTAACTAGTGCTCTTATTGAATATAGTTGAAATATTCTTATTCAGGTAACATGGTTAGGATGATCCTTTATTTTGTTAACCTTTGTCTTTTATTGATGCACATTTAGTTTCCTATTTTCTTATTTATTTTTTATTTAATATGTATAAATAATAATGATGACAAGCTCTTTGAGCCTTACATCTCCCCTTATCGTAAATTCATGTGAAAGAAGATTTTTCTTCCTTTTTTAAGAAACATATCTCTCATCCTTTCAATTTTTTTCTTCTGCCTGCCCTCTTATTTTTGCAATGGAGGAGGATCTCCCTATAGAAAAAAAATTAGACTCCTTCTAGGTACTTTTTATAGAAAGCAGAGGATGGAAGAGGGTTCAAAGAAGAAGAAAAAGAACTTTAAAACGTTAGCGGATCTAATGAAAATGTCTTTGGAAGAGAATTTTTCTAATCATTTTACATCATAAATTCTGATTTTGGCTATCGCTCTAACCACTACATAAGAAAGTATTTTAAAAAGAGTATTGAGATTCATTCCTTTTCTTCTTCACAAACTTTAGTGCCTACAACTAATCATTCAAGAGTACAGACGTTTGTTCCCATTATTCAAATAATGAGGGAGCTTAAAGGCTAATAATGTTCTCTATAATTACAATAATATAATTTAGAAAGTAACTTTTTTATAAGAATTTTTATGCAAATTTTTAAAAGTTTTATTTTTATTGAATATTCATTTATTCCTAGCTATTAAATTTAATTTAAATGAATGTTTGGGTGAAGATCGATTAATTTTTTGACAACTTGATTATTCTACCACTTTAACAGTTATCCCTACGGACAACCTTTTGCAAATAATAAAGAACTGGATGATCTAGTCCATGAAAAATAAGATCATGACATCATGCCTCCTACAAACTTGCTTACTACATGTAATCTTGCACCCTTGAATGTAGCAACTTTTGCCATCCTTGTGCAACATGATCTAATTTTATTTGTGCATATATCTTTGCAAGAAAATATTCAACCAGCTATTGAGAGGAGTGCTGCCACCCATTTAGTCGCTCAAATCCCCAATATTCATGAAACTCCCATTTTCTTATTAAGAGAAGTTAAGCAAATTATACTCAATGCTACTTTAGTAACTAATGTAGCTTGTTAAGGATAATATAAAAAATTGATTTTAATGAAAGTGATGAGTGAATTTCTAGTAGTAGTTTGCTTTTGGTTTTTTTTAAAACTCAGAGTCACTTGTTTATCTATTTGTGGTTGTACAGTTCTCTTTCCAAATGACCCCCTTTCTTGGATCTTTGAAATAATTCGGTGAAGAGGAGATGCCAGAAAAGGAGAAAAAAATGACGAAACTAGACAAAAAAATAAAAAAGAGAAATGGAGAACCTATGCAGAGTAAACTTTGTATGTCTAGAACGAGACTAGATTAAAATAATTTGAAACATGTTATCCACGAAGAAAATCATTACATAAATTACACATAACTAGAGAACCAAAAAAAATATTTTTGTTTTGAGTCAAAAACAACTCCCAAAGGGACGTGTCTCTTTAGTTAATTACATTTTGAGGGATACCCACGAATACTCTCAATAATAGAGGTCCAACTTATGCTTTTGTGATTAACTAGTTGAAGGTTGTGTCAAAAGGCGGTGGTACATCTCAGTGTTTTAAGCCTAAACTAAGATGTGAGGGCACAGAGTGAGTCTCTCATATCCCACTTAGACGGTGGCTCATCAGCAACTGAGGCCTTATGAGATAACTGAGCTATTAAGTAGGATAGCTTCGAGGCCATACTAGGTCATAAGGGTAGAGGGTGAATCGTCGTATGTTAAACGGACAATGGCTTATCAACAAAATAGAGTCTGCTAGATGACATCAATGAGGTTCTAAAGGAATGAATATGCTCAATGGGGTTTACCAACAGAAAGGTAACAAAATCCTAATCGGGTAGAGATATCTAGGTTACGATACCATGAATTAGTCATCCCAAGCTATTGATATCTTAAGTCTAATTGATTATAAAGGTAGTCGACCCAACCCGACCAGAGATCCTTGTTAGCTACCAATGTGTTGCATTGTCTAGGAGATCCTGATAGCCCTAAAGCCAAATGAATGAAACCTCTAATCCTTATGAATTTAAACAGGTAGGATTTGAAGAAAGTGGGACTTATTCCTGCCAATCATAAATGACTAGCAGCCTCTAGAATAGAGAGAAAAGAGGGGTCCGGATACAAAGCCAAGAACACCTCACAAAGGACTTACACCCCATCTAAGACGAGGAGCCTCTAACACTATAAGCGTGTTCTAGATGACCACTTAAGTAGAAATTAAT